GTCTATGTTTCTGGATATTTCACAGTACAACTCAAACCACATCTTGCATAATTTGTGTTGCTTATATATCAAATACGGACCATGATTTCTTAAAACATGCACCAAAAACTCAGCTTGCCAAATTCACCGTTGACAATAGTGTTGCTATACCTACTGTGGATGGTTGGACCCCCCAAAAATAAGCCGGGATAAGCCAACTATCAACTGGGGGCCCCTTCTGGGGATCCTTGAAATGGTCATTGGATGAGTCATTGGAATATATTGGAATCCCATCTTATCCCTTTGAACTGGACGTCAATTTGTCTAACCGTTGTTGCTTCATCCGTTACACCCAATCTCCCCATTGGTTTCAAGCTTTCAAACTGCTCTTCGCAACGGTTTTTCATCAGGCGACTTAAAAGTTTTTTTCATGACTTAGCTCCGGCTATTCACAAGTATTGGTGTAACATGGTGTAACCTACCCTCTGGTAAACTGACATAGCTATTGAAAATGGTGATTTATAGTGGATTTCCCCATTAAACATGGGGATTTTCCATAGTTATGTTAGTTTACCAGAGGGTACCTTAGTACACCGCCCAAAAAAGACACCGCAAAGGAATGGCTTCCGATCAAAATGGGGTTCCGCGTCCCTTGGGAAATCCCAGCGATTCGCCAGCCATAGTTGCCTCCATTCACTTCGCGGATTCATGACATCCCCCCCAAAAAATCCCATCATTTTCCCATGATCTTCCAAGCATTTTCCCAGCAAACCCGGCCTGGTAAACTGTCACATAACGAACTGGACAAAAAAACCATGTTCAATGGATAAATCAACGATTTCTATGGCCATTTTCAATAGCTATGTTAGTTTACCAGAGGGTATATCCCATGAATATCCCATGTATAGATGGTTTACCCATAAAAAATGACCATTTTCAATACCTATGTAACAGTCATTACCAGAGGGTACCATGTTGGAATCAGGGCATCTCCATCATCATACCATCTCCTTATGGAGCTTCGTGTAGACGAACAAATGTGTCTCCTGCCGATCCCGGAAGAAGTGCCCATAGTGGGCCAGGAAATGTCCTCAGTCGGAGATGTTTGGGACTTGGAGATTTTTGTTCGCAAACAACATGCTATTTTTTAACCATATATCTTACCGACACAAATTGGGATTGCAGCAAATAAACGATGGATTTCAACAAAATTTTAAGTGGATGTGATCGATAAACATAGTGATTCGGAAGTGAAATGATGCTATTTACTGACAACTTGGGAGTTTGGGGTTGGGCTCCATCTTGGATCCTGATGATCCTGAAACGCTCAAGTTTTTTTAGGTTGAAGATGGACCATCCCCTGACTAAGGCGAAAAGGATCTGTGACCACCGAGCCGATCTTGTTGAAGACCTAGGTGCTGTATACCAATTATTATGCTCTATGCTCCCGTCTGAAAGTAACCCATATCACAAAAACATGCTTTTACCATCTTTTACTAAGAGTAAATTTTCCATTTCTATTCTTTTACTAACAGTCACCTATATCTTTTACTTCAATTTCCCATTTCTATTTGATTTGACGAAACATTCGCACGATACCACATGGTTTTTCACTCGCACACCAAAAACGATGCCAAAACCAGCAACTCAGGTAGTGTCCAAATCCATCCGAATCCACCTGAGACTGGGGACCAGTGGAGAAGCCATCTCTGGTTGGTGATTTCAATCAACCCCTCTGAAAAATGATGGAGTTCGTCGGGATGATGAAATTCCCATATATGAAATGGAAAAATAAAATTTATGTTCCAAACCACCAACCAGTTGCTCTCTAGTAAACTAACAGTCAACTAACAGTTTGCGAACTGGACAATGGCCCATAGAAATAGTTGATTTACCTATTAGACATGGTGATTTTCCATAGTTGTGTTAGATTGCTATGTTTGATTACTGAATGGTATTTCTGTAAAATGGTTCTGCAACAAAAAGGACTCCAAACTTGGAAACATATTACAAAAACAACACCCAAATCCGTGGTTCCACTATGCTTCTTGTAGAAATACGACTAGACATGGGATATGTGATATTGATAGGAACTTACATGAAGCTACCTATAATTCACCATGTCTTTATCATCAAAACAATATTCTCCAAGGTTGCTGCCCTGTGCTCAGCAAGTCTCGGTCAATGATTCACCATGGCCATACCATGGCCATGGCTCTGGCAAGCTCTTGGATTAGCAATGATTATTCAATAAATTGAACACTATTCCATTACTATCCCCTCATTCCTGCTTATATCATCTTGTATCCTCTTTATATCCCTGATATTCCCTGAACATTTGTCCTTACCACCAGTTTTGTGAAATATTGACACATCAGATTTGCCCGAAACATTGACACATAAAATTTGCACCACCCATTTTGGAGCATCCCACTTAAGGAAGTGGTCAAGAACCAGAGCTAGGAGTCATCCAGCCGTTTCATTAAGTAATTTATATTAATTTGTGTTAGTCATGCTAAATCTATGGAAGTATATCATGTCAGAAAAAAACATGCGCCACTTACCATGGCTGCAGTCTGTTTGTTTTTTTTCGGAGCCCATGGAATGGCTCTCTGCCTGTCAATTCCCGCTTGGTTGGAGAATCAAACCACATGATATGGAGGTTTCCTACAATGGGGGGGTACCCCAATAGCTGGATGGTTTATTTCATGGAAAATCCATGAAGATCCGAAAATTGAATGGATGATTTAGGGATATTTAGGGCCATCCCATTTCAGGAAACCTCCAGACTCCATATCATGATGCTTTAACACTATATTGATTCTGACTCGGCAGAATGGAGTGCCCATCTTCAACATCTCGGCGTGCCTCTCTTCAACAGCCGTGGCCAAGCTGAAATTCTCCCCGGTCGCGGAAACTCAAATATGGTAAAATATGGTAACCCCCCAAAAGTTCGATGATTTACCATTAATTATCCAAAAAAATGAGTTTCCATGATGGTTACCATTTGAATATGCTAAGCCAGTCATATGCTAAACAGCTGAAGTACTGGAGTCCTGGCTATCCTCCAGTGTCATGAAACGTGGCTGGATGGAGGTTTCGCTGGGAAAATCATCGAACTAAATCGTGGATTTCCAGCAAGCCACGTTTGATGACCGGAGGCTATGTAATATGATAATGATATGGTTATAGAAGTTAAAATTAATGGTGATGATATATGATTATATACATATACATATACTATATTAATTAATATATTACCAATCATATTGAAACCTTCCATGATCATATTTTGGTACTGATTTCCCATTTTTATCCCCATTCATATCCCATTGAAACATCATCAAAGCACTATTAATCCACCAATATATCCCCATTAATCATCATTAATCCCCAAATTATCATGTTTGAGTTTGTTATCCCATATCATGGGTCATTAAATGTCCCCATTGAACATCACCCAACCATTAGGTATATGGTCAATGCCATGGCTACTATAAGGTGATGTCCAATATTCCCAAAATGGGACAGGTACCAACCCCTGCATATTTTGTATTATTTTCTCATATATTCTTGGCTTTCTCCTACTACTCGGATTTACTGAGCCGGACCGTCCAAAAATTCTGCACATCATTCCCTTACTCGATTCCCCAGTGGATTTCCCATTGGGAAAACAAAATCCTAGGGAAACATCGACACAGGAAACCAATGGAAACCATAGGTATTTTCCCGTTATGTAAACATGGGGCTTTTTTTTCACATTTCACCGTAAATATATATATAAACCAATCCATTGAATAGTATATAAATCATCATAAATCATCCCATTTCTACAATAAAGCAATAGTAAACAAATAGATATGGGGATGGGTCAAAACCTTGTACCCCTGGTGAACATCAAAATAGCTGGTAAATGGATGTTCATTCCCCTAAAAATGGTATTAATAGGTATTGATCCATAGCCATATTTCGTGGATTTCTACTATGGATATTAAAGCCGTAGTTGAAGCCGTAGTGGATATAAACCAATCCATTGATATCCCCATGAATTTGTCATCGAGCCACGTACCAGGTCTTGAACTCTGCCAGCATCGCCGGCTGCCAGTCCGCCATGGCGAAAGTGTTTAGTTTTTCGCGTGGAGAACGGCGGAGCGTGGAGACCGTTGTGCTTTAACAAGGGAGATCTATGCCGACTCTAAGCACCAAGAAAAATGGAGTCGAGTCCAGTTCTAAAGCAGAGTGATATATAGAAGTCACTTTTCCATCGGCATCTTACTATATGTTGAAACACAGCTGAACATGTGGATTTGGTGTCGTGTCTTTGTGAATTCCTAGCTGGATGGCTAACATCTTCAGAGCGGTCGAGATCTTGGGAAGAGGGAAATCCCAGCCCGAAACCAGGCTGAAAGGCTAGATGCCAACAAGGTAGATATGAAAATTTATGAAAATGATCTTTGGGAACATCTACTGCCCAAGCTTCCTGCCAAATGTTCAGAACATCTTTTCAGCACAGCCACCAGCTACCATCATCCATCTGAGTTCGACTTACCACTGAGTCAGTGGAGCATCCACCAGCAAACTGTTGAAGAATGGTTGCGCCAAAAACATTGATTACAATACAAATATAATAATATTGTTATATGATAGTATACTTATTGATCATCATATTAGTATACTTATATAATAATATATTACAACATTGATTAGTATACTTGTTGATCATCATATTATGTTTACCTTTTCATGGCCATGAATGGGGCCGACTGGACACCCCCTAGTTTTTTCAGACGCACTTAAAAAATCTCTGGTGTTTCAGGGAAAAAACATGAAGCCTCCATGTTTGCTACCCTCTGGTAAACATACAAAAAGCTATTGAAAATGGCCATAGAAATAGTGGATTTACACAGCTATAAAATGGTGATTTTCCATAGCTATGTTAGTTTTCCATGTTTGCTAACAACATTAACAAGGTGTCCGATGAATCCAGAGTCCAGCTTTCCCGACAAAACAGCCAGCAGGACTCTACCACCAGGCCGCTGCTGGACGCAAAGACTCTGGCCTCCAGCTGGAGCTTTTCGACAAGGGTCCTAGGTCCTAGAGATCAAACTATTTGGTGGCTTACCATCTGGTTTTTTTTAAACATAGCCATGGAAAATCCCAAAAATAAATGGAGGTTTCTAGCTGGGAGAATCATCTATTTCTATGGGCCATGGCTTCCATGGCTATGTTAAATAACCAAAGGGTAACAGAAAAGAAACATGGCCTATCTTAGAGACCCCTGCCAAAAAAAAAACGATTGCTTGAAAACGTGAGTAGTGATCAGCCAATCACATGAAAAACGTGACCTACCCAGCCACGATCCAAGATAATATATAAGATATGCATGGTTGATGGGGTTATTTACACAATTAACACCTTCAGCCTTGAACTAATCAGATTTTTTTCATACAAGGGTCTGTTCATGTGTGTGTTCATCAAAGATTTCTCAAAGAAGTGAAACCAGTCGAAAATCATCCCAACTTTTCGGATGAACATCATTCACATCTGACATTTGAAACCACCAATCAGCGCTAATTTATCAGCGGAGAACTATAACATACTATAACTATCCATTCTTCAGCATTGAATTTATCCATTGTTAACCCATTGGATACCCATTGTTAACCCATTGTTCACCCATTGATGACCCATTGGATACCCATCGGATCCTCCAATAACACAACCTAGGGAGAAGTAGCCCGGGCCTTCAAGGAGCAGCTCACGAGAGTTCTGTTCATCTCGTGAAAGACTGTCGCCTCAAAAACGATTTTCGACGCGAGTCGGAAACAGAAAAAATGGAATTATAAGCTGGACATGTTCATGATACATCATGATATCTCATGATATCTCATTTGGCTGGGTATACTTTCTTTTTGATGGAGCCAGTATATGATACATAATCTATATCGAAATATATCGAATCTATATCGAATCTGTAAGATAGCCTCATTCTAAGCCAGCTGGGTAATCGATAAGCTGGACAACACCAGCGGCTTAAGGTGAGGGTGGATGAATTTCGATGAATTTCGTGTTTCAAACTTGGAATCTTCAGCAATTTCAAGTTTGGAATCACCTCCCATTGCCGGTGTAGAGACCCGGTAGGCGGCAGTTGGGTTTGTCGGAGAGAATGATGGGCCTCTCTATGGCCTGGTGCCACTTAGATACTTCGATGGGCCATGGAGTTAGTTCATGGTTTGGGATCCAAGTAACCTCGAATAAGTGGGTAATAGTGGGTGTGTTTCATGGGTCATGACGCACTGACCAGTTCACTAACTCCATGGCCCACTTAAGCAGCCCGTTTTTGTCCAAACATCAGTTGAATCAAACGTCATGTGGGATTATCTATAGCAATGTTAGTAGAAAATCCCGTTTCTATCTTTTCTGGAATATGATGACATTTGCCATTGATTGACCCATTTACCATTAGTGAATTCATTATCGTTCATCAGATCATCATTTACCATCTGGTACGGTTATGTAATGGTTAATTAACCATTTCGCTGTGCGTAAAAAACCCGGTATACACTGCTGAACCCTAAAATATGAACCGGATATTCATCTCTCCAAATATCAAATATAGCAATGGGTTTTGGGCTTGTCCCAACCCATCCCAAACATGTGAAGCATCCTGTTGGTATGGTTGAAAAAATAAGAAATCATCCAATCCTTGGTTCATATCAAACACCTACATGGTCTCTAAATATGTCTGGTTGGTGGTTGAGCCACCCCTCTGAAAAATATGAGTTCGTCAGTTGGGATGATTATTCCCAATGTATGGAAAAATAAAAAGTGCTCCAAACCACCAACCAGATATGTAAACTTCCTACTGTACTACACTAAACCGCAACTTACTTCTGGGGGGTGTTTCATATGAACTGGGGAAGGGATTATCTCGGACTTGCTGAAACAACCCCCCTGCCACCCAAAGAATCTTATGAACTCCGCAAGTGGTGGATTTCCCATTGATATGTATATATATATGTATGTATATATATATATGTATGTATATATATATATTGATATACAGTATATATATATATATTACATATATATATATATAATATATATGTGTAATATAATATTTACCTTCAGCAAATCCAAGTTACATCTTTTCTTTGAAATCCCCAACCTTGGAACCTTTTTCTTGGGTCCTTCAAGGGGTCCTCCTTTTTACGGCCGGCCTTCATCGCGAATTTCCGGGGCCGCACTTTGGTGAACGACGCCGAGGCCTGGACCGTTCAGGGCACCAAAAAAGGTCACCACCCGTTGACAACAAAAAAAAAAACGGGGGATGACTGAGACAGGTATAGAACGAAACTCTACTATATTATAATATGTACCTATATGTATACCTATATGTATACCTATATATATATATGTAAATCTTATAAATGCATGTGAATGTATGTGAATATTCTAAAATAAATTATACAATGTATATATTAGCGTATATAACATGTATTATATAAATATTGCATAAATGATCATGAAAGGTTACGGGAAATCATGGCAAATCTAGAAAGATGTACACACATCTATAGAGATTGCAGAGGCATAGCATAGGTAAACACAAAGAAAGGGATTAAACACATGTAAAAAAATGGTAATGTATAATGTGGTGAAATTACCTGTTTACCTTCAAGTAAAACATGGTAGAACGTGGCCAACAAATGGGTGAACGCTGGGGAGTTGTTGCAGCAATGTAGGCTGTCTACCACTGAACATTGAAAAAGGCTGGCGGAAAGAAACAACATGAAACATTGTAGATGTTACAAATGTATTGGGTTCAATCCAATAATTATGTTTGATTTTTTGGGTTTACCACATGTAGATGTTACAAATGGATTGAACACACAAAACGAACATAATTGATGTGGTAAACCCAAAAACAAACCTATCATTTGGGGATGGTTGAAAAACAATTTTATACCACCCATTTGTGGTGATTTTGGGGATGCCAACATATATACATACATATTCATACATATACAATATATACCTATATATATATATGTAATACATATATATATATGTAATACATATATATATAATACATATATATAATACACATATATATATAATACATACATATATATAATATATAATATGTATATACTGTATATATATATAATTGCAGATTCAGATTCCTTAGTGAAGCGACGGATTCTTCGGAAGTCGCGTGTGGATCCCACAACAGCACCGACTGTCCAACACAAACGGCGGCCTTCGTTCTCAAGAAGTCGTAGACGCAACTAGCTGCCTCAATTTGGGTGACATCTTCTAGATTCCCCTTGGGATATCGGAGCTGAAAGGGTCAGATCTTGGACAGTAAAGATATCCCAAGGGGTAGGGTTTCTTTCAGCTTAGTGGGGTTAATGATGGTTGATGATGGTTGATGATTGTTGATATAATAGTGATTAATGTGGGTAAAACAATGCCATTTGCACGAAATCCCCAGTCATCACCATTTTTATATATAGGTGGTATGTATGTTTACCATTCCCAGTCATGGGTGGTTTATGGCCTCGTTTTACCCCACCTCTTTTTGGAAGCCAGCTGGGAAATGCTGGGAAACCACTGGAGTTCCAGGGATCATTTACTTGTTCCATGAAACGCGTGCCACAGACAGGCCCAATTCATGACATGACTCACCTTCGATTCCCCTTGTGATTGGCTAAGAAAAATGGGGCACAATGGACCCACAATGTGGTTAAACATGGTTAAACCATGGTAAACCCAAGAAAGAAGCTTCCATTGGCAGATGTTTTGCAACCTACCCTCTGGTAATTCAAAATAGCTATTGAACATGGCCATAGAAATAGTTGATTTACCTTTTGGACATGGTGATTTTCCAGTTCGCAAACTGTTAGTTTGCCAAAGGGTATTTCTGGTAATGTTGGGAATGGTTCATTATAGGTCTTACCGTATGAATTCTTCCAACCTGAACCGGCCTATGCGATGGGCTTGTTCGGATACAACTGGTGCAATTTCGCGCCAGAACATGGACAAACATGGTTGGTGGTTCTACCACCCGTTCCGAAGAATTGGTACCGCCATCTCAAATGTAGGAATGGAAATGGGAAACTCAAGAACTCTTCAAATACCCGCTGGTAAACGTTTACATAACTATGGAAAATCACAATTTTTAATGGGAAAACTCACTGTTTCAATGGTCATTTTCAATAGCTTTTTGTATGTTTACCAGAGAGTATCTTCAGAAACTCACCAGCCAAACAATGACATTAAGCTGATCTTTTACCAGCTATAGACCACTAACAATGACATTTATAGATGATTTTTCCAACTATAGACCTCCACTTTCATGTAGGATGCCACATTTGGGTATGGATCAAAGGCTATTAATTTCCGATATAAAGGGAAGTAACATGGAACAATTTGGAATAACCATCCATTAACCAGCTATTTTAAGGTACCGTTTGGGTACTAGGTTTTGACTCATAGCCATTTAACAATACTGGTTGGTGGTGCAATAACCATCTTGAAAAATGATGGACTTCGTCAATGGGAAGGATGACATCCCATATATGAAATGGAATATATTCCAGCCATGTTCCAAACCACCAACCAGCCATTGCTGTTTATCATCATATACAATAATCATTGATAAATGATGATAAACGCCATAGATTCGGGAATATATCAGCATTTATCATCAATTTACCAACATTTGCTAATGTACCATATACTATCATATACCATTATACCATATACCAACCAGAAGACCTCCTCTGACCTACCAGGACCTACCAGGACCTACCAAGACCTCGCCTGCGCTGCACCGGCGTTGTCATTGAGCTGAACGGAGGTGCTCGAGCAGTGAGGCCTGGAAACCTGCGCAACAAAAATCCTCGGTCAATGGGTAATGGTCAATGGGTAATGGTGATAATTAACAATAACTCACCAGTAATTGATGTATATATATGTATATATTAATGGTAGTATACTAATTGATAGTAATTGAATGTGATTAACAATACATACTGTAATCATAGTAATTAACAATAATTGATAGTACTAATGATTACCGTCCAGAATGGTTACCCTCCAGAATGGTTACCCTCCATTAAACCCTCCAGGGAGATTGATATAATATATATATATATATATCCGCCGACCCTGCCTAGCACTTGCCAAGGCAGGGTGGCGCCTGGGACCACCCTAGGTGTGGAACGTTGCTTTTCTTGCCTATCCAGCATGACCTACTTTTCGATTACTTTTCGACGTACTTTTCTTGTTTCTCGTCTATGCTGTGGCATTTCCAATGTTACACGTTGTGTTTGCATCCGCTGCTCAATGGCCAAAATGTTTCCCGGCGCGTTAGTTAGCCTGTTGCTCCCCCGTCTTTCTCATCTAACCGCCCACATTATTATACAAGCAAATTCTATGGGGTTAATACCAAAGACAGGGGAGCAACACCTTATAGAAAACAATAACATAAATCAGAACAACAAACAACAAAAAGAAAAAACAAAACAACATAAGCAATACAATAGATTGTAAAATAGACTATACCAAAAACCATAACAACAAACCAAAACAAAAGACAATTTCACTTTTATAAAATGAAATTTAACTATCATTCTTCTTCAAATTCTCCTCATGCTTCAAAGTGTTTGTGTGCCTCTTGTAATTTTGAGTTTGAATTTCATAATCATCACTTCAAATTTATGGAGATAACCAACATAAATTTCATAATCATTTACTATTAAGATTAAGGGATTAATTACCACAGTCTCCCCCTATGGGGGAAGCCTCAGCCCCCAGCCAATATCTTTCTCAACATATCTCTTTAAATTACCGCAATTACCATGCCCAAACCGCCCTTCATGAACTTGTTGATAACCATGTCTTCTTAACCTCAGTGCGATGTAAATGGCACAGCGATCCAAACTTTTGGGGCGAAATGGAGTGAAAAAGATTTGTGTGGTGTGCGTCCCAGACTTGTTGGTGACAGTCTTCTCAAGTTTTTGGAAGGGTTTGTCTTTGTATCAGGCATGAATGCACTGAATGTCAAGCTTGCGAAGGCTCACTGGCATGAATGCTCTATTGAAGCAATGTCCTATTCCTACTTGACACCCTGAAACCTTGCTACCTACAGACCTTGTCAATCATAAAAGCATCTGCTAAGAGCACTATTTTGCAAAGTCGCCCTGTTGGCGAAGCAAGCACGTGCTTTGTAAGTCGCCCTGTTGGCGAAGCAAGCACTGCTTTGTAAGTCGCCCTGTTGTTGGCGAAGCAAAGAACTGTTTTGCAAGTCATCATGCGTGCTCGCTCTCGCCCACTCATGGGTAAGTGGGGGCGTCCCTGCTCTTCTCAGTCTCCTTGCCGAGGTTCTCGGACCGAGGAAAGTAGGGCTCAGTCGGCTCAGTCTCCTCGAGGTTCTCCGACCGAGGGAGGAAGGGCGCTCCACTCTTCTCAGTCTCAATTGGGAGGCCGCGGGGGATGATGATGCCGCCCTTCTCAGTCTCCTCGAGGTTCTCCGACCGAGGGAGGAAGGGCGCTCCACTCTTCTCAGTCTCAATTGGGAGGCCGCGGGGGATGATGATGCCGCCCTTCTCAGTCTCCTCGAGGTTCTCCGACCGAGGGAGGAAGGGCGCTCCACTCTTCTCAGTCTCAATTGGGAGGCCGCGAAGGATGATCTCGAGGTTCTCCGACCGAGGGAGGAAGGGCGCTCCACTCTTCTCAGTCTCAATTGGGAGGCCGCGAAGGATGATCTCGAGGTTCTCCGACCGAGGGAGGCCCGCTCCACCCTTCTCAGTCTCAATTGGGAGGCCGCGGGGGATGATGATGCCGCCCTTCTCAGTCTCCTCGAGGTTCTCCGACCGAGGGAGGAAGGGCACTCCACTCTTCTCAGTCTCAATCGGGAGGCCGCGGCCGATGATGATGCCGCCCTTCTCAGTCTCCTTGCCGGAGTTCTCCTCTGCCATGACGTTGTTGCAGCTCACGCACAATGCAAGGATGAGGCAAGCGAATACACCAGATTTGAGCGCCATGGCAATGCCGACACCCCTGAGCCTGAGCTAAAAAGCGTCCCTGAGTGGCTTGAGGAAAAACTCGCAAAAACGCTACGGAAGAACATAAAGATGCTGAAGAATGACACAAAATTCCAAGCGCAAACTGAAAGAGCTAATTTCTGTAGCTTCCAATTGAGACTGTCAAAGGTGCTCAAATTGAAACAAATTCCAAGGTCAAGCTCTCCAAGAACATGTGGCTTCAAACCTCCAACTGGCATATTCCCAACAGCTGAGTGCCCCGACAACAGGATGAAGAGGATTGATGACAAAGCCAAGGCGAGGAAGGGCAAAGGAACATGGAGCAATCCCAGCCAATGACCCAGTCAAACACAAATTCGTGGGGAGAAACAAATGAAGGGCAAAACACAAAACCCCGAAACCAAAACAGCACATCAAATCAATCATCTCATGGTTGCATCAAGTAGGCATGAGTAAGAAAAAAATGAACTTACAAGGCTTTCTAAAAACACTAAATTTTTAAAAGTTCATGCCTCATCAACAATCTTGGGTAATCAGTTAACTTGTAATATTTTTGGTTCAACTTTTCTGCAATCTCTTGCACAACATAATAACCTTTTAGCCAGTGGGAAGTTCTTTCTTTCTCTGTAATTGCTTTCTTTCTCATTATCTTTACTTTGTCTCCCACCTCTAATGTTGGGTATATTCTTTCTTTCTTTGCCTTTGATGCTACATTCAGCATTGCTCTGAATTCATTTTTATCTTTCCTTGCTTGATTAGGTGTCATACCTGTAGCGGAGTGTTTCATCTTATCATTGTATGTCAGCATAATTTCTAAATTGTAGTCTGTCCATTTGATATGTTCTCTTCCTTTCTTTTCATCTGCTTCAACTCTTTTAAAAAGCATATCTTTGTAGGTGCGTATAAATCTTTCAGCAAAAGCAGGATGACCCCTTGTCCTATACAACTCAATATTCTCACCTTCAATATAGTCTTTAAAATCACCTCCTGCTATTGCTTTTTCATCATCACTGTATATGATTTTTGGTTTCTTTCCCATTCTTTTTAATGCCTCTTTAGTTGCCTCAATAACATCAGGTTCATTCTTGCTTACAATTGGAATTACTACGGCATACTTGCTTAAAACATCAATACAAACCAATCCTCCTCTATATTTTTGTTCTTCATCAAAATCATAATACCCCATAAAAAACAAATCAATTTGATAAGTATGATTGTTATGAGGTGCTACAAAGGAATTATGCCCTCTTGGCTTTGCTTTTATCTCAACATTTTTCCTAAAGAATTGTTCAACATCCTCTTTCTTGATTGTAGGTTCTTTCTTTTTAGCATCTTCTAATGTGGTCTTTCTTGAACCATAGCCCGCTTTATCAAAATAAATATCACGAATAATTTGTTGTTTCTTACTTTCACTCATTATAGAATAGATGATATAATAAATATTAAAATTATATCATTTATTCTTCATTTTGTTCATTGAACCAGTCTTGGTGTTTCTTTGTTCTAAAATGCTGTGCTTTGTATCCGTATGAAATGATACAACCACAATCACAGGTAATCTTTTTAGATTTTCTCGCATAGATTTTGTCAGCATTATTCTTTTGATATTCTTTTTGTTGTTCTTGGTAGTATGTTTTTTTGCTATGATAATTACTGCGTTTGATTTCACACAAATGTTCTCGCTTGTTGTCATTGTATTCTTTGATGCGCCCATTTTTATTGTTTTGGTAATAGTTTTTGTTTTTTCTTTATAGGGTTCAGGATTGTCATTGTATCTCTCTTTTGCTGACCTTCCTGATATGTTTTTGTTGATACAGTCATTGTTCTTAATGTAATAACCTTCTCTTTTGTGAAGTTCGGCAATGCTTGAACATACATAGTTCTCTACTAATTCAATCTTACAGTTTTCAATTCCAAATTTATCAAACATATCAAATAAAGATGTGTATTTTCTCTTGTTTCCATTGAGATACTGTTGGTAAGTTGTTTTATGTCCTTTAAATCTGTTTGGTAATGTATCTATTGTTGAACCGAAGTAGCATTGCTCATAAGCAATATCAACAACTTGGTAAATTGTGCCATTTTGGTAGTTTTTGGTTTTTACCATACTAAACACTATTATACATAAATAAACAGTCTTTAACACCATTTTCACAATGATATTTTATTTGAAAAAGCACAATTACAAGAAACGCAATATCCAACTACATTATCTTTGAAGTGGCTTTGTTCATTATTGACCCTTTGACAGCTAATATTTGATGAAACCTTGCCATCTTCAAAATCTATCACCAATGGTTCATTACAATTATTCATCAGGTTCATCAAAAAATCTACATCAACATACTCATTTCCTTCTACATCTCTACCTGCTTTTTTGTCTTGCTCAATGTAATTTAAAACCTTTCTCTCAAAATACTGCTCTACTATCCTTTTAGATTTACTTTCTTCACCTTTATTATATTTGAAAAACTTAATTTTGTTGAAGTCTGTAGCCCTTGTGAGGGCTGTAAAAAACCAATTCTTACTAACATACCATTCATTCCAATCATATATGACTATATCACCATCAACGCTACAACCTTGCTTTGAATGTGCGGTGTAGCAGTAAGCATATATCCGCCGACCCCTGCCTTAGCCGGCGCCTGGGACCACCGCAGGTGTGGAACTTTTTTTCGTTCCCAATGCTTTGCACTTTCCACGAGCCACCCAGGCCATAGCACCCTCTGTTCACCGCCCAGGGGCCACTCAGGCCACAGCAATTTCTGTGCACTTCCCACGAGCCACTCATGCCACAGCAATCTCTGTTTCTACGGCGTTCCAAAACGCAACAGGCCGCGGCAGACCCTGTGCAGTTCCAACAAGTCCCTGAGGCCGTGGCAGTAAAGAGGTTCAAGGCTGCCGTTTGCCAGCCTTCAAAACTCGCCAAAACTCCCCAAACCCTCCCCTGCAGCTCCCAGGCGCCACTCAGGCCGCGGCAGACCTTTCCTGCAGCTCCAACAAGTCCCTGAGGCCGTGGCAGTGTCCTTTTAAGGAGGTTCAAGGCTGCCGTTGGCAGCCCCTCAAAACTCCCCAAAACCCTTCCTGC